AAAAAAAAAGAAGTAAAGCCCCACTAAGTAGGAACAGAGAGCGCTCCACTCAGAATTTTACTTATCGCGGAATATTTTTATACCCAGAACCCATTTTCAATGGGAAATCAGGGTTCTTGATCAGGGCGACGAGCTGAGTCGATTTAGCTCTGTCCGTCTGTCCGTCCGTCCTTCTGTCCTTCTGTCCTTCTGTCCTTCTGTCCGTATATTTGAACACGTCGATCTCAGAAGATATAAGAGCTAGAGACTTGAAATTTTTTTCCCTGGGTCCGTGTATACCACGCGCATATCAAGTTTTGCTTCAAATATCGATAAATTGCCCCGTTATTTCGTTATCGATTAGAAAGATGATCGAAACCAGTAATAAATTTATATCTGCTACATCAAATTTTTAATGTAGATTTATATGTACTTTATGGAATTTCGATTCTGTAAAAAATTTACCACCCACCCCTAATTCAGCCCCTTACCTACATATTTGTAAAAAACGTATTTCAAATACTAGAGACTTGTGCATTAGCAAATATATGCATATCTATGGTTTATATATAATCTGAAAGTGTGTGTGTGCATGTGCGCATAAGTATTGAAATATCGGTTGCTCGAAGGGTTCAGGGGATCTCGTAGTCGAGCAGTCTCGACAAGAGCTTTCTTATTTGTTTATATTTATTTTATATTTATGTTTTATTATCACATTTTTGTATGTTATATTGCTTTAACTTTCCTCATGTTACCTATTCTATCTCATATATAAAATTTAACTCACTTTAAATTAGAATTTTCCAAAATAAATAAACTGTAAAGCGAATACATAAAGTTAAAACAAATTCTGAAAATTGTGTGCCTTAAGACAAAAAGCGAAAAGTTGAAACTCACAAAGCTGGCTAAATAAATTTCGCTAGTTTCACAACAGGGGCAGCTAACAGCAGCAACATCAACAGCACCAGCAACAGCCCCCCAAGCGCGACGATGAATGCGCCAAAGTGTGCTGATGAGGAAACGGAAATGGAACATGAGCGGAAATGCCGGCCAGAGGCGCAGCAGCTGTCCGAGCTGCTAGCAGCTCGACTTGCACTTGAAGCCGAAAGGTGTTTATTGAAACGTTAACCGCTGCCGGCTGAAGGTCAAAACGATTGCTGCATGAACGCTTCGCTTGCCGGGCAGTGGCCGTGGCATTGTTGTAAGTTTCAATCGGCCAGCAGGCGTTGCCAATTCGCCAATTCGGAAGGAGGAAACAAGCAAAAATCACAACTCGTCATGCGAGGCGACCAACAAATGCCACCAGCTCGACATCTATGTGTGTGTGTGCGTGTGTGTGTGTGTATCTCGGGCATCAAAACGGATGGGCGACATTATTAGCTATTTCAGCGAGCAAGCAGGAGGCAGCAGGCACAAGGCACCAGGCAGGAAGCAGGAGGCAGCCAGCAGGAGGCAGCAGCCAGCAGCCAGCAGCCAGACAACTGAAAAAGCTGCCACTGAAACAGACAAGTAAACGAGTTACCCGCGCTGCCAAAGCGGCCGCCGCTGTCATTGGCATTGCTAGCAGCGAGCGCGGCAATACACAACACGCGCGCAGCAGCAACATTGACAACGCCGTGTTTATATGCAACATTGACAACATGCCGTGACGCAAGTGATGCCAAACTGCAACAACAGCAACAGCAACAGCAACAGCAACAGCGGCTCCTCGTTACCATCAGCATTCCCATTACCAATATTGCTGTTACTCCTGCTTGTGCTCCTACTCCTGCTGCTGCTGCTGCTGCTGCTGTTCCTACTCCTGCTGCTGCTTCTACTCACTGGCAAGTCATAAAAGTTTTCTGGCTTGGAGCGTCGGCATTTTGCAAAGTCTGGCATGCAGCTAACTTCAGCAGCCACGTGAGCAAAGCTCAAATTCTAAACGCAAATGCAAAAGCTAAAATACACTGCAAATGGCAGGGGTCGTGCCTGTTATATGAAATATTTCGAATAATTCATCAATAGAAAACATGGCCCGGACAGAGCTCTAAGAAATAGCCAATTTAACTAATTTACCATTACATTACACTAATATTAATAAGCATTGAGGTCGGCTTAAAGTAATTTGATTCGACTGCTGCTGCTGGCTGTGATATTGCAGCTAGCTGACAGCAGCAACTCGGCTAGGCTAGCGAAATGAATTCCACAAAATTATAGTAGGCACATGGATTGGATATCATATATCATCTGATTGGACCACACACATTTCTGCCAGTCGAGACTTGGAGAATTCACGGCGTATGCAGAGTAGAAGCATCTCAGTCTTTGGCTGTTTTGCATAAAATGAACGAAGCTGCTGCTGCTCCTGCTCCTGCTGCTGCTCCTGCTGCTGCTCCTACTACTGCTCCTGCTGCTGCTCCTGATGCTGCTCTTGCTACTGCTGCTGCAGCATCTTTGTCAGTCTCGCTGTTTGAATTTGTGTTTGCTGCTGTCTGTGTATGTGTGTGTGTGTGTGTGTGTGTGTGTGTGTTGGCTGTGACTATATTACATTTTATGTCAAATGCGCACGCTTTCAATATTGACAGACGCCGGCAATGCAGCAGCAACAGCAACAGCAGCAGCAGCAGCAGCAAGCAGCAGCAGCAACAACACGGAAACGGATGGGGACGCCACCTGTTCCGGCAGCGGGGCGCTGCGTCGGCATGTCAAGCTAATGTTAACTTATTTTCGTATTTTGGCATACCTAGCTGCATGCCGGAAGTGCCACACCCAGGCCAACAACCACCAGCATCACCACCTCCTCCCCCAGCACCACCACCACCACAGTGGAAGCTGCTCGTCGAACTTATTTTCAAATAAAGCGCACAATTTTCAGAGACAAGGCAGCTGCGCCACCTGTCTGTCCGCCTGCCGCTGCCGCAGCAGCAGGAGTCGTGTATTTTTATTATGGAGCAGCTGAGGGGCTTAGAAGGGCTCACCGATCGGCTTGATGGTCAGCTGATGCACCTGGACGTGGGGCGGCGTGGCCAGGGCGTACATAATGCCGGCCGCAATGTCCTCCGGCTGCAGCATGGGCAGAATATTGTAGTCGCCAGGCAGGATCTCGGTGCGTGTCACGCCCGGGCTGATGCTCTGCAAGCTCATGAGAAAAATGCATCATTAGGATGGGAATGGACAGTGGGCATCGCTACGCACCGTTACTTTGATCTGCGTCTTGAGGCCGCTCATCTCCTGGCGCATAATCTCCAGAAGTGCCGTGATGCCGTGCTTGGTCACCGGATACATGTTGAGGGTCTGCAGCGACTCGCTGGGCGGATGGATGATGTGGTGGCCGGTGAGGCTGTTGATGAGCACCACATGGCCGGCCACGTCGCGCTGCTGCATGGAGCGAAAGGCGCGCTGGGTGCAGTAGACCACGCCCATCAAGTTCACCTGCAGCACATGCTGCAGCTGCTCCACCGGCATGGTCAGCAGCTGGCCGGAGTAGAGCAGCCCCGCGTTGTTCACCAGTATATCAACGCCGCCCAGCTCCGCCTCGATCCAATCGAAGGCCTCCGCAACGGACGCCTCCACGCCCACATCGCACTTGAGCGCATGCAGGTGCGACTGCAGCTCGTCGGGCAGCTCCTCCTTCAGTGCCTCGACGCGCTCCACGCGACGCGCCAGCCCAACCACAATGACTCCGGCACGCACCAGCTCCTTGGCCAAGGCAGCGCCGATGCCCGAACTGGCGCCAGTCACCACAGCAACACGATTCTGCCAGCGCTCCATGCTTCACTCTCTCACGGTAATTGGGAATTGAATTGGGCTTAGAATTGATATTTAGCTTCCTCTTCTGTCACTTCTTCTGTCTCTTCTTCTCCTGCTACTTCTTCTTCTTCTTCTGTTGTGCTTTGTGCGCCGCTGAACGGAGCAATTGGGCAACTGACTCTGGTCCGCCTCGAAGCCTTTATATATAGGGTCTGCCCAGTCGCCGGCACACTCAATGCTCAGCCACCCCGCCTCCTGCCCCACGGTGGGCCCAAGTTCGCAATTGAATTTTAAATAGTTGTTGCCACCGATTCACGCCCATTTGCGTGGCTGAATAATTAAGTGGCCGTCACTCAATTCGCCAGTTTGTCACTTGTTCAGCGAGGCAATTACGCATTTTGACCAATTCATAAATAAGTTGTGACTATTTTTTAAATTCGAGCCTCCACAGTGCCCGGGCGATAACAGCCAGTGTTTGTTACGCCTGAATGTTGATCGTCCAAGCTTTTGCTTCTATTCGTATATCCAACTGAGATCTAACTATAACAATAACTATTTAACTGTACCTATCTCTATAGATGAAGCATATGTTTCCATTTCTATATACCTGTAATATCTTGATGATCAGCAGAGCCAGCCTACACAGTCTACACTCTATGTGAGAGAAGAGAGAGAGAGAGAGAGCGACGCTTTAGATGCAACGAGCAAGAGTGACAGAGCAAGGGAGAGACTGCGTATATCTCTGCTAGTCTGAGCTCTGTTAGAGCACCTAATATTCCAATCTTTCTACGCTTCTACACATTTCAAGCAACACACACATACACGCACACGCATACGCACTCATAGTCACGCGCTCTGCTAACTGCGCAGTTGAAGCAGCGCAGTTCTTCCAAGGGTTCTAGGGGTCAAGGGCATCTTGAAGTTGAGCAATCTCGACTAGAACTCTCTTACTTGTTCTTTATTTTTTTTTATAATACTCTAAATTTCGTATAGTATAAATGAAAAATTTCAAGTCTTTGGCTTTTGAGGCTTACGAGATTATTACGTTCACTCACGAACGGATAGACGGGCGGCCGGACAGACAGACAGATAGACGAACATATAGGGCTAATGTGACTCAGCTCGTCGCCCTGATCATGAATAGCCATAGTTAATGCAGTCTGCCACGCCTCCTTCTGCACACATCAAAACCCTTACAGGTAGGAAAATTCCCCTTTCGAGGGATATCTCTCCAATTCAAAGATGCCCAGCCTATCTCAGCTTTGATTTATTCCAATATATTTGATAAATGTGTATAAGCTGCTTGAATGGATCAATGGGGACTGCGTGGCTAGAATGGTTCACCCATTGGCTTGAGGGTCAGCTCGTGCACCTGGACGTGGGGGGGCGTGGCCAGGGCATACATGATGGCATTGGCCACATCCTCGGGCTGCAGCAGGGGCAGACGCTTGTAGGCCTGCGGCACCATTTCCGTGTCCACGAGGCCGGGGCTAATGCTCTGCAATGGGACAGAGGCGGGCGGTGAGGCCAGAAGGATGCAATGACTACGCTGCTAGCTACTCACCGTGACCTTGATGTGCGTCTTAAAGTCGCGAAACTCCTGACGCAGCAGCTCTGTGATGGCGGTCAGTGCGTGCTTCGTGGCCGGATAAATGTTCAGCTCCTGCAGGCTGCCGGGCAGCGGATTGAACAGGTAGTGGCCCACGATGCTGTTCATGATCACCACATGGCCCGGCGTCTTGCGCTTGCGCAGCGATTGAAAGACGCGCTGTGTGCAGGAGACGACGCCCATGACGTTCGTCTGCAGAATCTGCTGCATGGTGTCCAGCGACATGGTCACCAGCTGGCCGCCCTCTAGCTTGCCGGCATTGTTGATCAGGATGTCCGCACCGCCCAGCTCCGTCTCGATCCAATCGAAGGCGCTCTCCACCGACTCGACGCTCGTCACATCGCATTGCCGGATGTGCAGCCGGCTGCGCTGATCGTCGGGCAGCTGCTCGCGCAGCTCCTCCAGTCGTGGCACACGCCGAGCCAGCGCCACCACGATCACGCCCGCTGCGACGAGCTGCCTTGTGAGGGTGGCTCCAATGCCGGAGCTGGCTCCAGTCACCACAGCTACGCGATTCTGCCAACGTTCCATGCCAACGGCTGTCATCTGAATGCGGCTTCGGCTGCTCGCCAATGTAAACGAAACCTTCGGCGTTCACAGATCAACGCCAGCCCGGGGCAAGGGCGTCGCCTGCCCCCACTCGACCTACAGCTGGACCCACTCGACCTGCAGCTGCCCCCCTCGGCGACGCCCCTGTCGCAAGTGCATCGATTTACAGCTGCGCGAAGCTCTCGGATTACCGGCAACTGCAGCAATTACGTAAAACATCTGTATTTCCGTTTCGCTTTGTGCACTGATCAAGCGTTGAGTCCAGACCGCAGACTCTGACTCTGTGACTTATTGCTGACAGCCTTTTAGCTGTTTAGAGAAATTCATTTATTTTGAAAGCTTAACGACGGAGAAGAAGAAGAGTATCAGATGAGGAGGCAGCAACAGAAATAGAGACACGGAAAATATATGCATGTATGCATTTGGTTGTACATATGTGTGAGAGAGAGAGAGAGAGAGAGAGAGAGAGAGAGAGAGGGAGGGAGAGGGAGAGTGAGAGAGGCTGCAAGCGCCTGTCATTAGCATCGGGCGTGCGCTGCGCTTGGCTTATTGCAATTCGTTCGAGTGACACGTTAAACGAAACTCTCTATTTTTAATAAGGTAATAAACAGCAAAGGGAGAAGCTTTGGCGGCACTTCACTCGCCCCTCGCCCCTCGCCCCTCGCCTTGCGCTCTGCGTATGCAGGCCCAGCGAACGATCCGAACTTCTAAGCAATAAGTTGCCCCCAAGCAGCCAAGCTGACGCTTTATTAATTAATATGAATAGCTCTATAACTACGTCCCAAGCAAGCTGTGCTTATATTTCGACCTACACCGTGACGGCTACAACGTTGTCCAACATATGTTCACCTTCACTGAATGGCAGCAACTCCAAGACTGATACGCTGAAGCAAATACGCCAAAATATCGTTCGAAAAGCCAAATGCCATTTTCAAGAAGCTGCGATACGCACAAGTTTGAACAGAAAAGGTGAACAGCCTAAGCCTAAGCTGCAAGCTACAGGTAAATCTAAGCCGGCTAAGAGTGCGTTGACCTCATTGACAGCAACTTCGTGTAGCAATAATCGTTTTGCTGTTCTTGCAAATGTGGCATGCCCAGTAAGGATCGAAAATTAAGAAAGCTAAGAATTAAACCTAGACTACCTGCAGATGGTAACCCCCCAAACACCGATCATAATGCTTCTCGTGGCTTTATCTCATCTGAGGCTATTAGAGTCAATACGTCGTTTGCTGACATCGTTAGACCCGTAAGACCAACTGCTGCCATGCAGTCCGACGTAAGAGATGACCTAATAAAATGATATAAGGTATTTAAGGTTTATATAATGCAACACATCGATCTAGATAGACAGCAACAACTAACCTCTGAAATAGGTGATCTCATTCGTTACACGCAAAGTCTGAAGAGAATATGCGTGAACAGGAGATGCCCGAATTCAACAAATCCAGAAAAGGCTTGCAAATCGTCTCCAAAAAATGCTTGCCCGAAGAAATCATATAAAAATATATAATATGCTGGAAAATTTGGGTACTGATGCTTCCACAAACTTCTCTCTTTGTCCCATCACTAAGAGGTACAAGTCACAGTCAAACTCAGCTTTAATGAACCAGAGTGGAGGTTGTTGCCGTACTTCATGGGAGAAATAAGAAGTGTTTGAGAAATAATCTAGAGCAACGCTTTCGTCCACATTCGGAAAGGCAAAGAAGTACATATCCTTAGAAACTCCATTCCAAATGACACTGTCTGCCGATCCTGTCATCCTGTCACTATTGCTGATTTGTAGTATACATGAAATTCGCTGGAAATGCTAAAGCACATGATTTAAATATAACCTTGTATTATTTGACATGTAAATAAAAATAAAATACAGTGTTAGTTAACGCTGTTTACTAGTCATACCTAGCGTTAGCCAACACTGGCTGAAAATCGACTTCACTTGCACGCAATGTCATTGGTATACATACATACATACGTATAAGCCTTGAAATATTTAGCACTTGGAAAACTATGATTATCTATTTTTATATGCGCCGATTAGGTAGATCGAAGCCCAAATTCAATATTTAGTATTTATGAATAGTTTATTGAATCGCGCAGTTCGCAGTACGTGTCTACAAGTCGAATGGGGGAGGGGGAGCAGGGCGGTCTCATATATCTTTAATGGGCAAATCCAGAAACTGCCGCGGCGGCCTGTCGGCTGTTTTGGGGGCCGGAACAGATGGTCGATTTGCAGGTCGATTTGTATTTAATAGCCTAATGGCGATTCCATAAACAGGGAATACGTGTACAGGGCGCGAGCTACGGGCCCATATGCAAAGCATGGCTTTGGATGGGGGATCGAGTGTGTTAGGCGCCTGGACCAAGTTTGTCACAGCTGCACACATGATGCGAAATAAAAAACAATAAAAACAAAAAGGAAACAGAGAAAAAACCGGAAAAAGGCAACGAAATACAAAGAAAAAAAAACAAAAGCCGAACAGCTGCAGAAAAGTTTCCCTTTGAAATATAAATAAAAATCAATTTGAGGCGCATTTGACATCGCCGAAACTCAAATAAGAATGCCGTAGACCCAACGTAGAACGCCTTCAATCAAATGCCGGCAATAGTTAGCTAATGTTGAGGGCCCACTCAGCCAGCCCCTATACATATGCATGTATAGATGGGGTACCCCTTCTGCTTTATCGTCTTCCTCCTCAGCCGCCAAATGATGCTGGAGCTGGAGCACACGTGTTATTTGCACACGTGTTTATGGAAATTGGGAAACGTATTTCAAGTTGAGCGTCAGCTCAAAGCTCACTTTGTTTACACAGAAAAACGAAAGAAAAATGTGCATGAAAATTTCACTGATTACGTATTTGAAGAGGGGGAGAGAGTGCGAGAGAGGCAGCGAGGGGGGCCGCAGAGAGAGCGCAATTACTGAAGCGCCCGCCCGTCAAGTGGCCCATCCAGAGCGAAGGCATCCTGTGCGCCAGCAAAAGTTGAGGCAAACACGGCTCTATTAGGCGCATCAAGAGCACGGCCAGCCTTGCACCCACCCACCCACACACCCACACCCACACACACATGCACACACATGCACACAGCTGTCTGCAAGGCTTCATCCACATATCATAAGTTATGCTTACTTAGCCGCCACTGGGCATAGTTCAATAGATGCTCGCATCTATGCGCATTTGCAGTTACATTTGCACATGCAAATTGGCTCAGGCTGTTGGGCTCTCATATTTCATTCGGGTATGCATAACACGGCCAGGCTGTTTGCTGTTGCCTTCTGCAAAAAGAAAAGAGAGCTGTCCAGATGCTAGCTGAAACCTATTGTCCGTTATTTTGCTGTAAATGAACCTATGCTGATTCCTTAGATATACATACGTAGGTATATATGCATGTATGTATGTATGTACATTTGTAGTTTATTGCAAAACACATTGAGCATTAATGAGTGAATATTGAATGGGTAAAACTGTAACTGCTGATTCAACAGGCAAATACATGCACACATACATATGTAGACATGTGCATACATATGTCCCAATTTGAATCTCTTGAACAGACCTATAGGCTCGAGCTCTATACTCCAGTAAAACGAGCCAAGAGTGGGTTTAACACAAAGCAAACAAATTGTTTTTCTATTTTTTGTTACTCAAGTCTGTTGGCCTGTGTAATTAGTGAAGGCAAATATGCAGGCCCCATTTAACGAGGTATAACCTCGAATATATATATTTGGTATGATGCGCAATGTGGGACAGATGAGTGTATATTGGATGTGTAAAAGGGTTACAATAGCTTTACATAAATACATACATGTAAGGGAATATGTACATATGTACTATATAGCTATAGAGTGACTGTCTTATTAAAAAAATAAAATAAAATAAAATAAATAAAAAATTTGC